ATTAAATTTAATATTAATATATAAAAATAATTTAATTAAACAATAAATGAATTTAAAATAATTTTTTATTTTTATATAAATTAATAATAAAAAATATAATAAATATACTTTTACTTTATATTTTAAATACATAAACTAAAAAATTCCTTAAACATTGAATAGAATTAATTTTTCACCTATCCTCCCTACAGATGAATAGCCATCAAAAACTTACTCTCTTGCAAACAAGCAGCACTAATTTTCTAACATTGTCACATCGGCAGCTGGTAAGAAATCTCTATTGTTGACTTTGAAAAGAATATCACACGCTATATATGTATCTTATCTTGGGGCTTTAATTCCATATCACACCCTTGCTCCTCCCCCTTTGCCTGTTAACCAAAAGCGAGATATAGAGATATATGGGTACTCTGGATCCAAACTCAACGATGGTGCGTGGAGTTCAGGATAATCCAAAGACTCCTCAGAACGGTAACCAACAGAAGGAGCTCGATGCCGGTGCCCTCTTCGTTCTTAAATCCAAAGGTAAATATATACGCCTATTTATTATCATGACCCTACCGACATCCATCATCATCTCTTCTTCTATATATCTCTCTTTGATCTTCAAGTTAATTGCAAGAACAATCATTGATAAATCTCTGATATAATATTCCTCTCTTCTTTTTATCATTACCACAAATTCGATCATCTTTTTAATTAATTAGTTCCTCTTGACTTCTTTAATTTCATTGGATCATGTATAACAGATTAATTAATTAGCAGCTAATTCATCGTTTTCTTTCATTTTTAAGCTTAACTGGGAAAATCAACCATCGTTTTTCTTGTAGTCCTTGAATTAAGCAAGCTGCTAAAAGGGAAGATGCATCCTTCCTAGAATCCAGACTCAAAATCCAGAATCCAGCTAATTAGAGTCAAGATTCTAATTATTAAAGAAAAAAAAAACTATCAATAATTCCTCCGCCTGTTCATTCTATTCATTTTGCTGATAAAATAATAATAATAATAATAATTCCTCTTCCTGTTTAGTTCTTGACCTTGGGAAAAAATTATTGTTGGAACGTGGAATTGTCTTTTTCAAAGCACACGTAATTAAAACATATTCAAGACGTCAACTTAATTATGGGGAAAAAATATCTTTATTTTAGTCAACAGTTTCACAGTTTTATTAATGCCTTTTAATGTTTTGATGTGTGCGTTAGGGTCGTGGGTGCACTGTGGTTACCATTTAACGACATCAATTGTTGCCCCAGCACTCCTCAGCCTCCCTTACGCCTTCAAATTCCTTGGATGGGCCGGCGGCGTCGTCTGTCTGGTCATCGGAGCTCTGGTCACTTTTTATTCTTACAACTTATTGTCTCTTGTTCTTGAACATGAAGCCCTCTTGGGTAAACGCCAGCTTCGCTTCAGAGACATGGCCAATGACATTTTGGGTAAGTAATTTAATTTTCCAAATGACATTACATTTTTTGCATTTCTTTGAAAATCTAGGATATGAGGACAATACTATCCTTTCATCAACTAAACCTGTACTAGGCAATTGGAGGTAGACACGAATAACCTCAAATAAATTGGATATGACCTATAACCAAGCTTGTACCATATGTTTTTCGTATCCTATCTGACATTGCATGTGGTTACATGGGACACACATTAAAGAGCACACAGCTAGTCTTCATCTTGACTTCTTATTTAGTGGACGTAGTACTGCATTCAATTTCACCATATATATGGTACAATTCTTTGGTAAGAGAGACTGTGCATGTGGTGGAAATCTAGCTAGGAGCGCAGTACATCAGGGTCTTTCTTTTCCCACTACTCTCAAGTGGTGCGCCTACTTTACTTAATAGTTTTTTTGCCCTTTTTGTTATAGAATACAAAATTAGTATAAGTCTTAGTTTCACCATGCTAAACGTGTAGTTTGTAAATATAAGTTTTTGGGTTATTTAATATCTTAAAAATTTAGAAAATATATTTTATATTTATTTTAATTAATATTTTATAAATTTTAAAAATAAAAAATATAAAAATTAAAAGTTAAATATTAAAAAATATTCTCAAAAGAAATCTAAATATATATATAACAGATTAAATTACTTAATAATTCTTTTTCTTTTTCTTTTTCTTTTTGGCTGTCAGATTTAATTATTTAAGATGCAAAATTTAAAAACGAAACTTTATATGATTTAGTGTAGTCATTAAACATGAATAAAAATAGGTTCAGCGTGGACTTTTAGTATCTCTAATTCAAAACGATTTTGCTCTGCCTCCTTAGAATTTAGAAACAATACAGTCAAAATTTTCGTCTCTGACCAATTGCCCGTTTCAAAAGCACTCCATTTCGGCACGTGGTTTACCAAATAAAATAAAATAAGAAAACCCACACGTCATCTATTTGACTTTTGACCAGAGGTCCATGGCCATGAATGGTAAAAATCTATATTTACCTCTCACCTTATCAAATTTAAAGGTTTTAGTTCTTTACTTTATATTATGACACATTTAGTCCCTCATCTATTAAAATCGAAAAAAATAACTCTTACTTTATATTGATTGTTAATTATGTTAACTAAAAGTAGATTTTTATTAATTAACAGTCAACTAATAACTAATTAATAAAATTAACGAAACACTATAAAGTTAATTATGTCAATTCTGTTAGTTGAAAAAAGATTTTTGATAATTAACAGTCAACTAACAGAATTAACAAAATGTTACAAAATGATGATTATTTTCTTTAATTTTAATAGATAAGAATTAAAAGTATCCTAGTATAAGATGAGGGGTTAAAACTTATAAATTTAATAAAATAAAAAGTTAAAAATATCATAATATAAGATAAGAAACTAAAAGTAAATTTTTACCGGTTCGTAAAAAAATGGGCTTAAGTTAAAAGTCCAATATTTCTTACTCGGCCTTTAATAAACACTGGGCCGAATTTGGAATTGTGCAGGGCGGGGATGGGGCCGTTACTTTGTTGGGCCGATACAATTCATGGTCTGCTACGGTGCTGTTGTTGCTAGCACTCTTCTTGGTGGACAATGCATGAAGGTCAGTTTCAACTTTCAACTTGGACAATATTCCTCAAATATTACACATGTAATGAAATCCTCAATACTTTTTATTTTCTTGATTTTGGTAGGCAATTTATTTACTCTCGAATCCAGATGGAAGCATGAAGCTATATGAATTCGTGATTATATTCGGCTGCTTCATGATGATTTTAGCTCAGATCCCATCTTTTCATTCACTTAGGCATATTAACCTCGTATCTTTGGTTTTATGCCTTTGCTATAGTGTCTGCACCACTGCTGCCTCGATTTATATAGGTAACGATTTGCCCACATTAGAACAATTGCATTATCTGCCCAAAACTATATGAGTATTTTAATTCTAACTACAGTTCAGAGTTAAAAACCCAAAAATGCACATTTCATGGCTAGATTGAAATTAAAATTAGTTAGTTTAAACTAGAAAATAGTTTTCTAGAACTAGATGTTAACCTTTTAATGTAATTTTTCATTTTTGAAGGAAATTCCTCCAAGGGGATAAAGAAGGATTATAGTGTGAAAGGTGACTCCGAAACTCGTCTTTTTGGCGTCTTCAATGCCATTGCCATCATTGCCACAACATATGGCAATGGTATAATTCCAGAAATTCAGGCAACCATTGCACCACCAGTGAAGGGGAAGATGTTCAAGGGACTATGTGTTTGTTATGTAGTAGTTTTGACGACTTTCTTCAGTGTTGCCATTTCAGGCTACTGGGCATTTGGGAACCAAGCTGAAGACCTGGTACTCGACAATTTTTTAAAAAATGGGAAGGCTTTGGTGCCCAAATGGTTTATTTTGATGACAAACATCTTCACTATTCTCCAACTATCCGCTGTTGGTGTGGTAAGTAATCTTAAATATATAAAATCAATTCTTAAGTTGAAAATTCAAAGTTTTTAGGTTAAACAATTTTTGACATGATATTAGATTTTTTTTTTGTTTTTCTACTAGTCCATAATTGGAATCATAGTTGTCTCTTAACTTCCAAGACATGTTACCTTGACCCTAGCCCTATGTTTTGTTCAATGTTTTTTTTGCCCTATAGGGGTTGTGCACTAGGGATTACTTCTAACACTAATTAAGAACCTCCCCACCCCCCTAATCCCTACTCATCATTTTAGGCCATTCCCATTTTTTGTTTAATAAATAGATTCATTTCAAGATCTGGTTCTGGTGCAGGTCTACTTGCAGCCAACAAATGAAGTGTTAGAGCGTACCTTTGGAGATCCAAAGAGCCAAGAGTTCTCCCTCCGGAATGTTGTCCCAAGAATAGTCTCCAGATCAGTGTCTGTTGTCATATCAACAACAATTGCAGCAATGCTTCCATTCTTTGCAGACATCAATGCTGTCATTGGAGCCTTTGGATTCATACCTCTAGACTTCATATTACCAGTTGTTTTCTATAACTTGACGTTCAAGCCACCAAAACAGAGTCCCATATTTTGGCTGAATATTACAATTGCAGTAGTTTTCTCCACAGTAGGACTCATAGCAGCTGTTGCAGCAGTTAGACAGATAGTTCTTGATGCCAATTCCTACCGATTATTTGCTAATGTATGATTAAAACCAGGTTTAGTCCCTCCCGGCTGACTTTGTATCTAAGAATTCAAGATACCAAATATCCCTTCTGTTTTGGTTTTTTGTTTATGAAGATATTAAGAGCATCCAAAAATCAAATAATGAAGATTTTAAATTCAATTTGCTTGTCCTTGCATCATTGAAGAGTTTTAGAACAAAAAATCTTTCTGTATTGACAGGTAACCAAATTGCTTAATGTAAGTGTTGGATATCAAAATCAAAGTCCAAAAGCTACCGGGTTTGATGAAATGTACCTAAATCCTCAGGGCTAATCTTAGTCTAAATAAATACTAAATTGATAGAAGCTGCTCACTGCTCTTTGCTCTGTATAATGTGCTTCAACAAAAACAAATCCTAAATTCATCCTACTAGTAACTTTGATCACAGGGAAAATACCGGTGCAGCCTCTTCCAAAACCCATCGTACAATCTGGCAGCTGCTTATGGTTCTCATGATCAGCATCTATTTGTCACCAGTCCAAATCACATAAGAGGGAAACTGGTATTATAGGTGAGTGGAGGTATGATCTTGCCTTCCATAGACTGTGGAGCTTGCAAGAGCAGAGTTTTTTGTTGTAAAGGATTATAGTTGAAGTTGTAGTTTTCAGCAATGACATTGTCCGCTTCCATGTGGACTAGTTCTGGGGGTGCCGACATTGGCATGGTGCAGATCTCTTCATCATCTACTAACATTTTAGGGATGTAAACTGGAACATTTACCACTGCTGGATCAACAAAATTACTGGCAGCTGCTGAAGATTCATCAGAGTATTTCCTTTTGAGTTCGTTACCGATGTTTTGCTTAAAACTGGCAACAACAAGCTGATAAATCAAAGGAAAATTCAGATTTATTAGCTCCAACACTCTAAATTGCTAACTGATTTCCATAGAACAGACATATATAAGATTTCACTTACTTGGATAGGACAAGCTGCGATTATAGAACCTGCAACGGCACCACCAAAAACTGTGCCATCAGGTTTAGCTAGTGAAACACTCAACATGCCACTTCTGTTCTTAGTGCCCCCCATTTCCCCAAGGATAAAAGACCCGGTTAGAGTTATGATTTCGAAACGTCCCTGCATTAGGAGGTAAACATTAGTGTTGAGATATATAGAAAGAATTAATACAATTCAGTTAGTGAAAAACCATAATCTAACCTCATATCTCAACATTCCACCAGCCTGGCGTATAACAACACTGGATACTGAACCGGTAGCAGAAAGAATGCAGATTGCTCCAGGACCTTTTTGAGCAAATGATGTTATCTTGCCAACAACATCCTGTGTGGTAAAAGAATACAAAGATTTAGTTCGTGCATCGTAGAGTTGATGAACAAACAAATGTTGATTGTTATCTAACATACCTCTCCTGTAAGAACAATGATTACATGAGGGGTAAAGTTTCCTCCTGCTGTCTCCGCAATAAACCCACCTGAAAACAAAGGAAATTCAAATTGGATAGACAGACTAGCTATTTGCTAAATTTCAGTTCAAACTTTATGTTTAGATGCATTATTTAGAGGAATTTTAAGAGTTAGAGAACTTAGCATAATTCAACAAATCCTTCCTTACACCATAATATCAAGGTTATATAAAAACTTGTTATTTTCAATAACAAACTATAATTTATCAACCATTCAAAATTTAAATTTTTATTGCAAGTTTTATTTTTTATTGTAAAAGTTAAAGTTATAAATTCATAACTTTCTCACTAAAAATTTTATGGGGAAAAAGTTCTTTCTAGAAAAGGTACACCTAAGCCAAAAGCTAACAAAACTAAAGGGTCCTCAATCCTCAGCCAACCTAAAATATTTAGACATCCATAAAAGCCAGCATTCATGCAGAATTAAACATAGCTCTAGAATAAAAACATAAAACGCTTAAACACAATTACTCACCAAGAGCAGCCAAAGCCTGGAGTTTTCCGGTACCCTTGGGTCGGCCCCGACCCCGTTTCACAGAATTAGCTGATGCGGTAGGTGATAACCCCACTGGCTGTGGTAAGGCGGGGAGCGAGCTCCTGACTGCAACACGATCATCCTTCCATGGTCTCGCCCTCTTCTTATTCTCCATAACGATTTCTTTACCAGTTGCATCCGGCCCTTCTACTGACGGTCGAGTTCCTACATCACGCTGAAACTCAACCCCCGGAGTTACTTGTAACCCGGTTCCGTTCATAGCCAGAGATCCGTTTCCGGTACCGTTGACGTAAGACTGAAAGGATATGATGCTCTTTGCTTCCATGAACAAATTATAATTCAAACGCAAACCTGAAGATAGAGAAATTTTATAGACACTGCCGGTGTTATGTTCCGCCACGGTTTCGGATTTGTTAGGAGTTTTAGACCTTGTATGACTATGACTATGAGGAAGAATTTAATACGAATTGTAGGATTTAAAAATAGCGGGAGCGGTTTTTTTGTATTCCAAGAATGCCCTTCTCAATTCAAAAATTAGCTTATGCTTAGACTTTTGCCAATTTTATATGAAGGATTTACTAATAGTTGAGTTGAGAGGGAAATTCCTTTTTACTCATTACAATTAAAAAGAAAAAAAAAGTATTGTTTACTTTTTTTGGGAGGGAAAATCTTCTAATTTAGGATTGTAATTTCGAAATCCGAAAAATATAACTCGAGCAGAAGTTAAATTGTTTTTCTTTTTTTAAATTAATCTCTTTTTAGTCTTTAAATCAATTTCTTTTAATTTATTGTTTACAAAATTATAAACAAAGATTATTTAATCTAGGTTTGATGATGAATATATAGTTCATCACATATTTATAAAAGACACATGAAAATAATAGAGAAGAAATGATCCTGAGTATCACAATGGTAAAAAAAACTTAAGTATTATGTTAGAAGTCAAGTTTAAATTCTAAAATGAGAAAATAGGAGAAGGGTAAACTTGTGTCATATAATATGTCATCTAGGATGGGCATCGGTTAGTTTGGTGGTCAACCGACCAATAATAGCGATTAATCAACTTTTTAGATGATGAAAAGTGCCAACAACTTATTGAACTGGATTTGCTTCAGTTGTGTTAATTTGATGACCGATCCATCTTGGTTTTTTAATTTCAATTTTAATTTTGACAAAAATAGGTTTTTGTAAGAAGAACAAAGGAGAATAATAAGAGAAGATTGTGATGGTAGGATGTTGTCCTTTTATAACCAGGAGTTAGTCCACAAAACAAGATATGGATTTCTTGTACTTGGATATGTAGAAGAAAGACTTATGTTTGAGTTCTTTTGATTTCTCTTTTTCACATTTTAGATATGGAAAAATAAACAATGAGAAGAAAGTAGTAAGTAAAAAAAATTTTGAAGAGAATTTGTTGCATTTAGAGAAGAGAACGCCACAAAGTGATAAGTTCATTTTAAATCATTGAAAAAGGAAAAGCAAAAAAAAAAAAAAAAATATGGAGGAGGGAAGACAATGAGAACTGAAAAGTAAAGAGGTGGAAGTAAGGTGAGAAAAAAAAAGAAGAAAAAAAAAAGATTTAGATTTTTTTATCAAATGTCGTAAATTAAATTAGTTAAATCCAACGATTAAAATCAAATCAACATGAATTATTATAAAAATAAATAAAATATTTAATGAAATGTGAGATTGATAAAATTTCAATTTAAAAGAAAAGTCAAATATGTTGCAATGAAAAAGAAAATAAAGGGAAAAAGATGTTAAACACAATAATAAAAATGCATGGGAATTCTTCCATAAAAAAAAAAAATGCATGGGTATTCTAAGAAGTTATAAAAAAAAAAAAATCAGAACTTCAGTTTTACTGGGCCTAGTCCTCCGGTTTTCAGTGCTTGGGCCTTACAATCAAAGCCCGCCCTACTAGAATTCAGGTTTAAGCCTGAACTGTTATTTTTGTGCTCGAAGCTGACAAATCAATGAAAAACGGAAAAACCCATCCAATTTCGAGCGGTTTTGCAGTTTCTGGTCGACCGACCGAAATCCATCCACCCCTAATATCATCTATTATACTAAGAAATCATTGCTGGAACATGGTAGGTTTGAGAACGAATTTGTTTTCTTTTTAAAATTTTTTGACTTTATAATCATCTTTAAGAATATTTGATTTTGCGAGAAGCCTTTACAGGCCATACAAATATCATCATAAGTTGTCGATCTAGTGACTGAAATTATGCAAATCAGGACGGCAACACAGGGTCTTGTTAACTTACAGTACCATTAAATTGATATGGAAAATAAATACAGTGGGTTAGACTAAATCAGTACACTATGTCCTATCGTAATTATATAGTACATGGATCTGATATAAAATTAGTTTTGACAAAGCCGAACATGTTAGATGCCCTCTCTGCTATGTAAAATAGGTTCTTCAGTTCAATGCTGAGATTTGCCCAGTCCTGATCAAAATGGATACCCAAAGAACTGAAACCTACTGCATCCCCGCTCTCCAGATTATCCAGCAAAACCTGTAGCCAATAACCAATCATCTACTGCATCTCCACAGTTTCTCTGATTGTCTTAAGTAAAAGCATTTTCAGTTCCTCAATACTTGCTGTTTGAACTTCTTGATCAGCTGAGGCACCTGCAACCATCCTTTTGTTTACGTGCTTGCACTGCTTCCCTTCTTTCTTTCACAGAACCAATCTCATCAAGTAAAAAGCATTTTCAGTTCCTCAATACGTGCTGTTCGAACTTCTTGATCAGTCAAGGCCCCTGCAATCATCCTCTGTTTACGTGCTTGAACAGCTTCCATTCTCTCTTCAACAGATCCCTGTTATCTCATTGATCAAAAGGAAAAAAGGATTAAAATCAAATAAGAGATAACCATGCCTGTGCGCAGGGGCAAACATATAATGTTTTGACATTTGACATTTTACATTTTAAGCATCAAGAATCCAGACCAAATATATTTAGTTTAGTACTGGGTCCAATTGCAATTCAATTTCAATTGAGAGCCAATTTCTAACATAATCATTTTTTTCTATAGAAATATAACCATAAATCATTGGCAATCACTACCCTTTGGCCTTTAACGATGGTGGATGTGCAGGCAATAATAAGAAATAGCAGCATAAGTTAAAAAGGATAAAATGTTTACCTTTACAATGAACCGTTTAATAGTCACCCTATTAGTCTGCCCGATACGATGAATGCGCATAACAGCTTGTTCTTCTACAGCTGGATTCCACCATGGATCCTGTGTCAAAGACAAATCCACTACTCAGTCACCAATACCCATTAACTGACTTGGAAACATATGAGATGCAACCTAAACAGGAAACCCTGGCCTGCTACTTCATGGTAATAGTGTAATAAAGCATGTCAAAATAACTTATGCAGATAGTTGTTCAGAATGAATTAATCAAGGTCCCCTAAATTTAATTTAGAGGCAGTGATAATTAATTTTCATTAGCAATTCCAAACTATCAAGCCAAGAATTTTGTCAGAAATTGAAGATGCACAGATAGACTATGCTGTACTAACAATTAACTGAATCAAAACCAAAAACTAGAAGTGGCAATGCTCTTATCAAATATGAAAAAGGGTCTATACCATTTAATACAAAATTAAAGTTGAGCATACCAAGACAAAAGCATTGGAAGCTGCTGTTAGATTGATTCCAACCCCACCTGCCTTGAGTGACATCAGCAACACCTGATAAAAACCAACGGAGCTAAAATTATCGAATCAAAGGCACCTACAAAAGTGAAACCAAACTCCAACCAGGGAAAGGATAATCACAAACCAGGATGTTGCTATCTTCTGAAAACTGTCTTATTACATTCTCACGTTGCTTCTGACTTAAAGTCCCATCCAGACGAAGAAATGGAATATTATTCCTAGACATTGAATTAGTTTTATGTCAATCATGAAAACATTTCTGAAAGCTAATAATTGCAAAAAGCCCTTAACAACAATGGTTTTATTTGATAGAAATCTAGACAAAATATCTACATCATTTACAATCTTTGAAAATTCCTGATGAACATAACAATTCATGATAACACAAAAGAAGATGCAAAACACACACAAAGACTGAAGATTGGTGGCTAGAAAATATTAAATTATATTTTGGGATGCTAGAACATTCACTAGCACCAAAGTTCCTCCACTCAAAAGCAACAGAAAAGCATCGTTTTAGCAATTTTATGCCTTATACTCTGCAGTTTTAGCAAACTTTTACAACTGAATTACTTTATGGTTCTTCAACATGATGAAACTTGTCCAATAGGGCTGCAGCTGTGGCCATACTTTAGATTTTTATTAAAAGAAGAAAAAAAGAACTTAATTTACAATAGATAGTTTCTTGACCAACCAATATGCCTTCATATTCAAAATCCTTAAGTCAGTTAGAAATGTTTACCGAGACAGAGGAATCTGCAAGAGGTCCAAAAATGCAGTCCACTGGCTAAAGAGGATGCTCTTAGAGCCGGATGATCGAAGACTTTCAAGTTCTTGCATTAAAACTGTTACTTTGGATGATTCCACCCAATTTTTTTGAACATCAACATGGAATCGACTCTCGGTTGGGGCTGTAATAAGATCTTGCTTGCTAATAGTCTTCCTGTAAAAGTTTAAAATATAAAACTCATAGACCACAAGATTTTTAAACTCATCATAACCTAACACTACATATAGAAGTCAATTTTTTTTTCAATGAAAAAAAAAAGGGCAACCATTTTTTGGTACATCTTGAAGGATAAAAGAAACTGGGGGATTGGAAATTGTACCAGCTCTCAATAACCACAAGATTAAGCCTAACTTGTTGATAGACCTCCAAGATACTTACCTACATACAGGACAAAGACCCAAAGTTGCATTTCGCCAAGTTGCTAATAGACACTCTCGGCATAAACGGTGAGCACATGGTGTAAATACAGCATCTTCAAATGCTTCAAGACATATTGGACACTCTCCTTCTTGCCCCTTGCTCAGCTCTTCAACAACCTGTTGAACATATGCCCTTGAAGGTGCATCATTGGCTTCCTCTTCATTGCCATTCGGTCTGCCCTTAAGAAAACGTCTAGCCAGCTTATTCAGATCAGAATACTCTTGGGTATCACCTCGACTGGAAAAATCAATATCGCCACACCAATCAGAATCAGATTAATAAGTGAAAGTTAGGAATGATGTTAAATTCATTGCAATATATTCACTTGTTATTAAAGAGAAGATATCCAGTATCCATTTAGAGATTAGACTTTAGGGTACAATCATATAGATTAATATCCTTTACAAACCACCACAGATGACCACCACTGTCATCTGATCATTAGCATTGTTATAACAGGCAAAAGCCACTAAAGTAAAAATCAGCTTAGCAGAGAAAAAGCATGAGGTCCAAACCTCATCACAAGGAATGGATGATCACAACATTGACGAAGACGGAGAAGTAACTCCAATATACTAGCATAATTATGAAGAACCCGTCCTTGTTCAACAAATTTATCAAATTTTACCTGAAAAGATACACCCACGCAAAAGTTACATTAAGAGGCAACATCAATATATAATTAAATAAAAGGACAAAAACAACAATTCAAAATCACACCTTAGATTTTTTAAACAAGGCCTCATAGAAGTCTTTTTCAAATTCACTGAGTTCACAATAAATCACCTGACTATCAACAGGAGGAAGAACTAGAATTGGCCTGACAAAAAACAAAAAAAAAAAAAAAAGGAAAATGAAAATTAAGAAAGGAGTATAAAAAATGGTCAAATGGAACTAGTGCTATGCACTTAGCAAGGATACTCACCTGCCTCCTCGATCTGTGCTAGACTTTGTCCTCCTCAACATGATTGGCTTAAGGATGGACTGAACCAACCTTAGCCCTCTCTCATCACCTCCCTCAAAAGGCTTTTGGATAAGTTTATACCACCTATATCATATAAGAAAAATTATGTAACAGTTAACAGCCACGCTATATCAACTCAATTAAGGACCTTGTTAAGTTATTATGAAAACAACTACTTAAGGCTTCAATACAAGTCAGTCAAACATGAGTACAACATATCCAAAATTCAAATAATCTGCTATATAAGTTAGAATAGAGGGTACCAAATGGAAATACCTGTAAAATCATAAAAATTGAAGGCAACAAGAGCAAGGAGAAGTGTCAATTACTGTCTACAAACTAATATTTCAGTTTTCACATTGGTAAAGACTAAAGAGAATCCAAAAACCATATGAAATCTTGATTTCTCTTCCTGAAGCACTTTCACCTTCTCTGTGTGTGTGAGAGAGAAAATTTAAAGCTAACCATTCTAATAGCTTCTCTAAACCTATAGAAGAGATGTTACGACCATATTCTCTATGCTCCATAAAACAAGAAAGAAAAAACTTACCATGCCCAATTTCCCCAAGGTTCAACCCTTAAAAACCGGAGAAGACTGTATATGTCCTCCAGATTGTTCTGTGACAGTAAATTCCAAGTCAGGTAGCATGTAAGAATTGAACGCCAAAAAGGCAGGAAGCATTCAAGCATGTCTGGACAGCGAGTCAAAGTCCTAATTGGCATAGACCCATCCAGACTATAAACAATCTTCAAATTTAGGAAAACAAACTTCAATAAAGAAATATATATTATAAGCATGGATATGAAACTCAGATGCATGGCACACGCAATAAGTATCCCCTATAACTTGTTCAATACATATCAGTAACATTAATAAACAGCACAAGGAAGCAGAGGTATCATTGCAGTCACTGATGATGCTGTATGACGCATATTACGACTTCGTAGTGTTTGCAACAATAATTTCAACAACTATATTAAAGTGGTTGACAGATAGGGCAGCATTTGTGGTTGAGATGTCACACATCAAGAACAAGACTGATTCAAAACATTGATAATAATCATCCATAAAAAAACCAAGGGATCACTTCAAAAAATTTTCAAAAATATATTACCTGGATAGGAGTTCCTGTCAGACACCAGCGGCAATCAGCAACTAATGCAGTAGCAGCCCTGGAAAGTTGACTTTTAGAGGACTTTATAGTATGTGCCTCATCGAGAACAACCCTCAACCACCGAATCGAATAAAGTCCTGAGTTGCCTTCAGAATTCTAAATAATAGAAAGAATAACTAAATGGATGCATGAACATTTTCATCCAAAATTATGCATATAATATATGCTCAGAACATTGGCATAATGCAGAAACAGGAGAATTGGGCTACCTCAGCTGAAAATTCTGAAGCAAGGACTCCATATGTGGTGATTACAACATCATATTGAGCAAGATTCTTGGCATCCTTAAGTCTATCCTGGCCATAATGAACACATAAGGACAAAGACTCAGGTTGCACATGAGTTTCAATCTCTTCCTGGCAACAATCAATGTCCAAAACCACAATCAATTCAATAAAAAGTTACCAGAGAAGCACATAGTAAGATAGAAAATAGATACATAAGTGCCAACTTTCAAACATGTTGATGCCATATCTAACCAAAGTCAAATAGACAATACATGTAAAAACTAAGAAAACATACCTTCCACTGGCCAAGAAGAGTCATGGGACATATAATCAGATTGCCACCATCCAGAAGCTCATTCTTTTGCCTCAAAAACTTATTAAGGCCCGAAATTTTTGTTGTTCTTTCAGGGATGCTAGGTGATTGATCTGAAAGACAATTGGCTTCATTTCCATTAGGAGGCACATGCATGGATTGACTATTTGGTAGCCCACCTCTTTTTGATTGAGTGAGTAGAAGAGCTATTGTCATAACTGTCTTTCCAAGGCCCATAGCATCTGCCAGAATCTTCAAAAACATAATATGGTCAAGACACTGAAAAAACTAAAAAAATCCATGCAAATTAATTAAATTTACAGCTGAACTAGAATTGGCATACCCCTCCTCTAGCCAATTGCATTGTGCTTGGGAATTCTATTGAAGCATCACCGGTGAATGCATTCAAGTAGACAACAAGGTCCCTCCTATAAATAAAGAAGTCCTTTGAAGCATAAATTTAGATACAGGCAGAAAACATGCGAGCTACAAGTTCATTCAACATACTCATCTGCTAGGCGATATGCCTCCCAACAAGGGTGAAGTGTTGGTTCTGCCTCATCCATGGAATGTCTCTTCTCCAACTGGAACATCCAGTGGAGGGCCTGCTTTTGATAAGGGCGCAATTCGCACTGCAGGGTGCTAGGAGGATCCATTTCCTAATATGCAATAATTTTCAAGCAGTTTCACCAATTATGTTCACTGGGAAGCCCATCACCAAGTATCATATTCTAAGACAAGATTATACCTCTAATTCAGAGTTGTGCCCAACACCAACAATATTTTCAAGATCAGAATCAGAGATGGGATCCTCACTTCCACTTTGAGATTGATTCTGCAACTTGTTGACAGGAAATAATGGGGCAGGAAGGCCAGAAACATCCTATTCAGGCAGAATTATTCATTAAAACTGCTTAAAGAATTGTTCACATGAACTATAAACATGTATTTTTCAATACCTTTGACTCCAAGGGTCGTTTTCTTGTACATAAATCATCAGGAGTAAATTCTGCCTGATTACAAAAAATATATATATATAGGGTTAATTAGAATATTTGAAAAGTAAAACCAGCAATAGCACATTGCATGTATTAATCAACTCTAATTTTTGGCTAAATAGATACATCCATAGTGTCTACTGAACTGAAAATATCAAGGAAAAGTTAAGATTTAAAAGAAGTGAAAAGATAAATCATTACTCGCTTAAAAGGAGTTAGGCCAAGCAACCGGAACAAACTTGGGAGAGGATGAACAGTCGATTCCTCTGTAGCATCACTGGCTGCCTTGAGTGAGGCTTGATGGTGCTTATGAAACATAGAGCTATTGATATAAACTCTGAATCCAAAAAAAAAAAAAAGGAGGTCATAATCATCAAGATTTGCACACTTTGTAGGCTACCAAAAGGAGGGAAAATCAAGGAAAAATTCCCAGATCACACACAATGACACAATTATTAATAAAGTTAAATTTCTAAATGCTATCATTTCTTGTAAATGAAACAACTCCAAATTTAAGAGTAAGAGACTGGCTTTACATTGGGCATACCTTACTGATAAATGAATGGTAGACATGATACCCAACACATCAGGAACAGACTTACACCAGCCCTCAATCTTAACCTTATTATCCTTCACAAGGGGCAGCAAACATCGACCCCACTCATTTGGTATCCGACCAATCTGCCAAAAATCAAAGGCCATAGCTTAACATACCCATTAAAATATGAAAATGGTTATCGGAAAAACACCGTATTAAATGTACCTCTCCAGCATCCTTGGTAGAGAATCTCACAATCTCTGAACAAGCCGCTGCTGCCTGCCTCCCCCTCCCAAAACCCTTGTTTGCCAGTGACGCTTTACTCGAGCCAGCAGCACCCTTCACTGGAAACGTGAAAGTAACTTCATCCCCTTGTTTCACCTTCCTCCCCTTACTAGTAGAGAATCCAGCCACATCACAGCATTCCACAAGCCACCAATCACCCCCAAGCCTAGTTTTCTTTGCAATGTTGTGTTCACTACTACCAACACTACTGCAACCATTGTCAACTTTCTCTGTCTTCATCGACAAACTATAATCACCCTCCAATTTCTCTGCCTTACTAGGTATTTCAGAACCAGCAGACCCAATACATTTACCATCACCAATAAATCTAGCAGTGCAAATATACTTACCATAGTCACCAGTACCATCATCACCATCATTCTCCACATTCTCTTTCTTAATCGGTCTGTCGCTAACCGATACCTTAACAGGACTTGGTTTGCGAGCAATGGAATTGGGTGATTCCTCTTTGAGCTTCAAAGGAGGGGGTGAGTCCAAGATTATGTTGATGGCGGCGGTAGCGTCGTATTTAGCCATGTGCAGGGCTCTGATTATTTCCATTTCAGAGCGGTCGGACCCGACGATTGATCGCACGGTTGATATGAGCTCGTTGTTGGCCTTGTTTCCCATGGCATCACTTGCTTGACAGAAACCCTAACCCTAGCCCAAACCCAACCCAGTATCTTGAGTTGAGTTTAGATGTGCGATTGAGAAACGAAATTGGAATGCGAGACAGTGAGGGAAGAAGAGAAGGAGATGATTTCTGAATTTTGGGCGGTGATGCCTTTTGTTGGCGACGGAAAATGGCGGATGGTTTTTGAGATGGCGG